CCAACAGTAAGGACTGCTGCTATTCTCCGGGCACTTAAGGGAAACCAAAGCGATGTCGTTACGCAATCACGATCCTATCAAATCCAACTTAAAGAGAGCCGATGTAATGAGCAGAATCCTCTCTTATGGTGGGCAACACATTAAAAAGCAGCCTGAAGAGTGTTGGTGTGGATTACAGTGTGAACAGCAGCCGAGGAAGATCACAACATTCGGCTGCAGGTGACGGATAGATAATTAATGTGATAAGTAATGAGTAAATGAATGAATTGGGGTATAAAAGGGGATGAATGAGGGAATGCGGGGAAAAGGAGGAGAGAAGTGAAGAAGAGGGAGCGCTGCTTCACTTTATTGCCCAGTCTCCTACATCCTGTACTGATCGATACTGAAGCACTAAAGGAGATGAGCGCCTGGACCGTGTGTGTATGTGTGTGTGAAGATATATACAGTCAAAAGTTGTCTACTTATTTGGGGGTCCTGCCATGTTAGGGGCTTAAACAAGTTAGAAAAAGACGCAAGTAGAAGCCAAGACATTTGGATTAAAAAAAGTATGAATTGATTTGTATTTGACAATAAAATAAGGAATAAAAACACAGAAAACTAAAAGAAAGCAACATAGCAAACGCACGGGTATAGAAAATAAGAGAATAGACTACGAGGGATAAACATATGGAGGGTTCGAGAGGGATAAGGGGGAGGGTTGGGCTGTAATTTATCCGTCAGTGTGCATGCTTTACGGCTTTCTTAATTCAACTCCTGTTACTATTAATGGAGTTAATGTTGAGATTATATCTATTTTCTGGTGGCTTGGGTTGAAATACTGCAGACCATTCCCTCGCCCCTTTAAACGACCGTCCGGCACTAAATCACCGGCTACGCTTGTTATGGATGGAAACAGGTAAGAGCATGGCATGCTGGGTAGGGAAACCTCTCTTCCTTTGGAATGTTAAGTAATGAATTGTGGTGTTAGTGAAGGTATTTTTTATCTCAATGTTTGATTTAATTTGTCAATATTCAGCACGTCTTTAAATGTGTGCTTTTAAATGTTGTATAAGGACTTCTTTTTTTTTGTAGCAGTTTGTATAGCTTCTGTAATTGGAAAGTGTTGTACAAATAAACTTGCCCAATCAGACAGTTAGAGCACTAGCCAATAGAAGCGTGAGTGTGTACTGATGTCACTATGTCCCAGAAGTAGACAAAGGAGTCCAATGGAGGCAGGCAGGGAGTGGAGGCAGGCAGGGAGTGTAGGGGAGAAAAAGAAAAAGAAAGAAGAAGCATAATCGGGCCCGCTAAATGAAGAAACTGAAGCACAAAAAGGCCCCCAGTGCTTTCTCAGTTGGCGTTAATAATCCTAAAATATCTGCTTATTAACTGCCAGAATTTGGGAACCCTTGGACCACCATGCAAGGCTGTTTTTTGTCCTAAAGCGTGGCCCCGAGTGTGGATTTCAGCTACGAACAGGCACAGATATAAGAGCAGAGAACGTATGAGGACAGGGATCAGTGGGTCTGATAGGCCAAAGATGAAGAGCAGCACTCAGTAGTTAAGAGCAGAGAATATGAGCTCATGCTCCGCTCAATAGCTTCAAACTGATAAAAGTGGAGGGTCTTTGGAGTTAAACAGATAGATAAGCATGAGAAAGGAGCGCATGGGTGGGGGTGAGGGGGGTAATCCACCATCCCTGGGGACCCGACCTGTCCCCCTCCTCTCCCTATCTCTTTCCTCACTTCTACACACTTGGTGATATTTCACAAGATGTCACGGGGCTCAAATTGAAAATCCCTTGATGAATCAATATTTACTGCAGCAGCTAAATGAATAGTAATAATTCACCAGAGGCTGAGTCCGGCCACAGTCCGGGCCCCTCTGTCTAACCAAATCTGGATATCACAAATGAAGCAACACACACACAAAACAAGCACAAAACTCCTTCACTCATAAACAGGCTTCCACAACAGACACAACCAAAAGACTAAAGTAACTTCAGCCCAACTAAAAAGAAAACACAGCAGATACATATGCTGAGGTTTTGTAGTTTTAGGAGCTGTCTCCTGGCGGCCAGGAGGACAAAACTAAAATGAGGTGTTTCTAGTCTCTAAAAACGTAGTATCAAAACACACTCAGTACTGTGAATTTACCTTTAATTGCTCTCCCTCAACGACAACAATCATGTCTCTGTGAACTGAACTTAAATTGCAAGAACTCAATTTGTTTTGTGTTGATTCCTAGACCGGACACAATAACGTTTAGAGCAGCTCCAATTCCTTTATATTACAATCAGTTTCATGTTTATCAGAACTCAGTTTTTATGTGTGTGTGTGTGTGTGTTTCAGAGTGTCAGTTACAGTGTAGTCATACCACATACAGTTTCCAGGAAGAGTATCCTGTTATTTTTATAACAGGATGCTTATTATTACTCTACAGATTAACAGATCATCTAATACCAACCAGGACAACCTGTTCTGAGCTATCGCAAACTTCAAACAGCATGCAACTGAAGGAGAAAACAAGCTCAACACCACGTCTTTTCTTAGTGACAAAGCTATGACTAAGGCCTTTACTTAAAAGGGGACCTATCATGCAAAATGCACTTTTGATGTCTTTTATACAAAGATATGTGTCCCCGGTGTGTCAGGGAACTCAGAGTGTCAAATACAACCCTCTCTTTTCCTCCGTGCGCAAATCTCTAAAAACGGGGGAACAACGGAGCTGATCCAGATTTGCTGCCGATATGACCTAATATCTGAAACGTGGACTGGCTTTGCACCAACGCCCCTATCACTTCAAGACACTGGTACTTGCGTACCATGCTATGAATGGTTCTGGCCCTTGCTACATCCAGGAAATGGTTAAACCATACAACTAGAGATGTCCCAATCTGATCAGGCGATCAGAGCCGATTACGTGATTTTCAAAAGATCGGAATCGGGAGGAAAAAAAATCGGGGATCGGGAATTTTTATTTTTCTTAATTTTTTATAAAAAAAATTATTATTTTATTTAATGTTACAAAACTAAAATGACCATGTTCACGTCTTAAAGTCATCCTGAGGCCTTAGTTTGGTTTAAAATTACACAACAAATGTTATGTGATTGCTTCTTTTGGGCTTGTTTCATTAGACCTGGTTGCTTATTTCCTCAAATCTGGCAACAGAGTGGGCTGGGCATGCGTGAGTGGCAATAACTCTCCTTACCAGCAGGCGGCTGTAGTGTCTATTCGACATTCAAAAGAGGCAACAACAGACCGCGTGATAACCGAGAGAAGAAGAACAGACTGTGTGATATAAACAAACAACAAATAGCGTGTGCGTTCCATTTTCACTTTACAACGAGAAGCTCATGGGGCTTTCCCGAACCTGTGTCGAGAGCTGGAGTTAAATGAAATCTCAGATTTGCCTTCTTAATAGTTTGTTTGGGTCCCTCACTTCCGTTTCGCTTCTCATGCACTGATTCGCTAGCTGAACAGCCAATCAGAGTGATTTCTTTGGCCGACTGCACTGAAACAACCAACACTTTCAGAGAATTTTAAAAGGAAAGAGCAACTGCCCCAGAACAGTTAAAAGATAACAGCCAAGATAGCTGAATTCATCGCGTTGGATGACCAGCCGTTATCTGTTACCTTTTTTTTCTCTTAATGCATTGCATAAAGATCAGATCGGGAAAAATCGGTATCGGCAGATTGTCAAAATCAAACGATCAGAATCGGAAGCAACAAAAGGTGATCGGGACATCCCTACATACACCCCAGCACGTGCACTCTGCTCTGCATCAGCCAAACAGCTCGCTGCACCCTCGCTGCGAGGGGGACCCAAGTTCCCATCAGCAAAAACACGTGGGTTTGCTATCCTGGCTCCAAAACGGTGGAATGAGCTCCCCATTGACATCAGGACAGCAGAAAGCATACACATGTTCCGGCGCAGACTGAAAACTCATCTCTTTCCACTCTACTTCGAGCAATAAAATGAAAAAAAACAACAAAAAAACACAAAATAAAAAGCACTTATATACTAACTAAGGACTATCAAAGGACTGGCTTATCTGAGTAGCACTTAAAATGGTTTGGCTCTATGAAACCTAATGTACTTATATGATTCTGTTTTCTTCAAGTTTGTATCTTCTTGGTTGAATGCACTTATTGTAAGTTGCTTTGGATAAAAGCGTCAGCTAAATTAAATGTAATGTAACTTACGCTTCTGTCTAGCACTCCAACACATTTAAAGCGAAAGGTTACTCGGGAAGGACATCATCACCACAACCTGGCAGAACTAAACATGCAAGTAAATATGAGATTTTAGATTCCTTTACAGGCTAGTGTTGTAATAATTTATTGTGCACAATTATTTTTTACACATTTTCTTCCAGTGTCTCAAATTTGTGATTTTTGTATTTTGTTTTATTTAATCTTAAAATGCATGAATTTGTATTTTTGATTTAGAAACTACAAGCAAATTGAAAACTCAACGTTGAGCTTTAGATGACAAATTATTATCTTATTTATGGACTACATCTGTGAAAAAAAAGAATAATAAAGACTAACCTTAAATTAAGTTAGTCATTACTTGCATGCCCATTTGACATGTTTTATTCACTGTGTATTCGAGACTCATTGGTAGATTGAACCTTGTTTGAGAATGCTAGAATAATAGAGGGGCTGTGGGAGATGGAAGTTAGATGAATGAAGGGGGGTTGGGAGAGGGAGGAGATAGGAGTTGTAATGACATAAGAAACAGATCCACCCACCCACCCTCCCTCTATATCCTTCCAGTGTAAGGCGATTCTGGTGTAAATTAATGTGAGGAGCACGCTGGTGCAAATGGTTTATTCTCTGGGTTATCTACTGTGTAAAAATGAGCGCCATAAATTCCCGACCTCTTCCGCTCATGCCGCACGTGACACTGACATTAAAGACAGGGCGCTGCTCTGCACTGAGGGATATTAGCCACTGAGACACATTAAACCCGGACCTGCGGAAGGTGTGTGTGTGTTTGTCTTTGTGAATGTGGATTACCTGGCAGACTGGATCCTCTTAGCTCTCCAAGACAGGGCAGGGTTGTAGTGGAGGGTGTGTGCCGTGCTGGCGGAGCCCGGGCGGGTCACCATCTTGTAGCGTGTCCTGAACACCCGAGTAGAGGCGGGGCTACGGTGAGAGGAGGAGGCGGGACCTGGGAATAGCAAAATTGGCAGATCAGTATGAAAGTCTGCAAATTAAAATCTGATCGCACACAGAAACGAAAGAAATTGCTTAAATCCAGTCAGTGCAGGAACAAATATACATCTTATGAATGCGTTAAGCTCGCACAAGTTTTTCTGAGGACTCTGGCAGGTGTGCTCTTTAATAAGCTTCACAGATAAAAATGAGAGGGAATAACAAAGGCAGAATTTTTATGAGCCTAATAAATCATATGCTCTGTCTCTTCCCTCGCTGCCTTCATCCCTCCTGCCTGGCCTCCCTCCCTCCTTCTCACTTTAAGTCTCATTCGTTATATCATTTTACAGATCCATCAGAGAAGAGGCGAAAGTGTAGAGAGATCGGAATAAAAAAAAAAAAAGAGGACAAAGTGTTTTTATTTATTTATTTATTTGGCTGTGTATCCATCATGTTGTTTTATGATGTCCTATGCCGGCTGACTTACTCGCACAAAGAACATAATTTGCATTGTGAGCCGCCTAAGTCCCTGTTCACATCAGTTCGTAAGCCCAATGTTGGTAATTGTAGAGGTTTGTATCTATTACAAATTAAGTTGAGAACAAGATCAAAATAACTCAATTGAGGTGAGCTTGTTTTTCTTCAACCAATCAGAATTTGCCACAACGCCTGTAAGCAATGTTCCTATGACTCATTGCATAATAACAACCTTTGTAAAATTGAAATCCTGATTTGGTTAAAGACAATGACAAATTCCACAAATCAACTTTTCCTATACCTATGACCTGTCTGAAGCATCTGACTTTGTTGAAGGGATGTCACAATTGTCCCACTTCCTAAAAATGATCTTTTTTTGAACAATAGGCGCATTCACACCGCAGTGCTTTTCCCACTTTAGTTTCTTACGATATAGTTCCAAAATGTTGCGTTCACACCAAAAAAATCCGGAACCAAAATTTGTTCATGAGAACCTTTTTACTGCCTTTTTGTGGGAGAAAAAGGTCCCTATTTCTGATTGGCTGTGCGGATTGCAAATCACTCCCCGTAAAACTTTTTTTTTTGTGAAGCCGCCATTTTATTATCCTTGCATTAGCAATATTAGCATTAGTATTAGCCCAGCGCACAAACACAGAGAGACTAACTTATGGCAACACAAAATAAAACATGGGAGCGGTGGAGATGAGGAGGTGTCGGCGTTTTGGCGATTTACTCGGAAGGCCCCAACTCCGGGGGCTTCCGGCCGGGGACTTCGGGTGGCAGTATACGCCGTGAAGTTGTTTGCGGCTTGGCAGTAAACCCAAAGCAGAAGAAGAAGAAGTGACGTCAGCGGCTTAATTTGCCTAGTCCTCCCCCAGGGACTTATTCCGGTGTGAACGCGATCTGTACTTAGTTCATGAGAACTAATGAGTTCTCATGAACTAAGTTCTCATGAACCTTTGTGGGAAAAGTACTGCGGTGTGAAAGCGCCTAATAGTATTACCAACTGACATAGTGGCCAAACTGACACAAATCAGAGTCCGATTATATAGAACTGTTAGCTATCCAGTTGTGCCAAGAGAAACCCAAAGGAGAAGTTTTCTTTCAATATTAGCATTCAAAATAATATTACGATTGGATGCACCTCGCTTACCAAGTAAGCTATCTATCGTTAACTAAAATGTGCATTGCAACCTGGCCTTGTCATTTGTGGCTCTGAAACACAAAGATCAAGATGGCCAAAAAACTCATGGATTTAAAACAGTTGCCCATAAACCAATGTGTTAAATCACCATGGCTACGCCCACTTCTTCTATAAAGACTACAGGCGCTTTCACACCGCAGTACTTTTCCCACAAGGGTTCATGAGAACTTAATTCACGAGAACTAAAGAGTTCTCATGAACAGCTCGCGTTCACACCGGAATAAGTCCCCGGGGAAGGATTAGGCAAATGAAGCCGCTGACGTCACTTCTTCTGCTTTGGGTTTACTGGCAGGCCGCAAACAACTTCACGGCGTATACTGCCACCCTAAGTCCCCAACCGGAAGTCCCCGGAGTTGGGGACTGGCTTCCAAGTAAATCGCCAGAACGCCGACACCTCCTCATCACTCCACCGCTCCCATGTTTTCTTTTGTGTTGCCATAAGTTAGTCTCTCTGAGTTTCGGCGCTGGGCTAATGCTAATAATGCTAATGCGAGGATAATAAAATGGCGGCTTCACAACACTTTTTGGGAGTTTTACAGGGCGTTGTTTGCAATCCGCCCAGCCAATCAGACATAGGAACCTTTTTCTCCCATTAAAGTACCTGCTCTCTAGCAGGGTTCTCATGAAGGTTCTGATGAACACATTTTAGTTCAGGCTCTTTTTGGTGTGAACGCGACATTTCGGCACTAAAGTCGTAAAAGTACTGCGGTTCGAACGCGCCTTATGGTACCAAGATGTAGTATACTAGAAATATACTCCTCACCAAGCTTTACAAACCTGGGTAAAAAGCTTTGTGAAAAAGCCTTTAGAAAAGATATTTGCCACAAGCCTCATGCCGCTGCGTGAAAATGTAAAAAGCCTTCCACTACCACAGCCTGAAAAAACGTAATGCAACATGAATCAGTTGCTCCCCGCATTCATTTAAATTATTCCAACCCCCCCCAAAAAAAAACACTTGCATGTAATTATCTGTACTACCTCTTTCCTTTCTCCCAATCATTCACTATGGTGGTCAGTGACAGCACTCTGTCTTCCTAATGAGTAGAGAAAAGACAGAGGGAAGAGAGGTGTGAAAGAGGGATAAAGAATGAGTTTATGCACCCGATGAGGAGCTCATTTCCTATCACCTCTTTCACAAGTCTTTAATTGCCAATTGTCAGGATTGTTGCCATTTTAATTAGCGTCCAATAACAGACCGTGACCACGAGGGTCGCGGTGACAAATAAAATGATTCGATTTCCACTTCTACACATTCCAGCTTCTCTCCCCACTCCTGCCCCCTCACTCTTCCTCCTCCCCCCCTCACTCGTTTCATTTGTCAGCCAGGATGCAGCCCTGGATCCGTTGGCGAATTCATCTCAGACAAACATTTACTGTTGAACAAATCACTGTTTAGAACACACACATAGATTTAAACACACACACTGGGCTTTGCTCCTGCACACAAATGTGTATGTATGAAGGGTTTACATTGAGTTAGAATTATAGGTTATACCATGGCTATACCATTCTGATCGGGTAGAAGGGTCATTCAACAAAACACACCTCATTTTATTTTGAAAATAAAATCCTGTGTTATGATCTTGTATTATCCCATTCTTTATTTGTGTATTACTTAGTTATTTATTGTATTGCGCTTTCCAAATGAATGTATTATTACATTATTATTTACTTTGGCTCTGCAGGATTGATCATTATTTCATTGGGTACAATAATATATTACCCGCAAATCAACAATCTGGGACCTGAGAACACAATATCATTCTTAAAAGAAAAACAGAGCAAGGAACAAGGGCTATCAGACGATCAGTTGTGTTTTAAACAAACAACGGGATTACTAAACTTATAAGAAACAGAACACAAAGGCAATCTCTAAAATAACTTCAAAAAAGTGTTTCTACGATGCCATTCTTAGGGCATCATCCTTGATCAATCTGCTTTATTGTGCACTGAAAAGTTGTCTATGCAAAAGGGGGCTAGGGGCTATTATTACCAATGTTTTATGCATATTCACTTTGCATTTGAAGTCAACGGCTTAACTTGTTGTTTTGCTTTGTTCTGATTGTTCCTTTTAGCAATGTTACCACACTCCAACAATGTTTTCAAAGCTGATAGAAATTATGGCCAAAAATAAGAGACAGGCTATGATTAACTATAGGTTACTTACGTAACCCCAGGTCTCAGAGTAACATGAAGTGAGATGTCTCACTATGGGATGCGCCTCAACGCGTATGCAAACAGAAGCATCAATCTCATTACGCCAATCCTGATTGGCTGGTGATCTTGACCTCTACGTCAGGGAATCCACCCACCCTTATAAGTAGCTTGCGCTACGACGCAGCGTCATTCAAAATAAGCACCTCTTCTCGCTTCGCCTTAGCAAGAAGGGCCGTCTGGTGAGACATCTCACTTCATGTTACTCTGAGAACTGGGGTTACATAAGTAACCTATAGTTCTCATTCATAACACTCCGTTCGATGTCTCACTATGGGATATTGAAAATCCCGTATTGCAAGACTTGCTTATCTCGAAAATCACCAAAACAACCAGAATTTAACAGGTAGAACCCTGTCTCAACACGGGGCCCAGCACTGCGCGGGCCACACTTGGAGCAGAGACATCTAGCCTGTAAAAGCGGACAAAAGTGAGCGGTGAGGACCAGCTTGCTGCTGCAAAAATGTCTTGGATGGAAACACCCTTGAACAAAGCCCAGGATGTACCCAGTCCACAAGTAGAATGAGCATGCAGGCCCGNTGAGCACCGAAAGAGGAGGAGGAGGAGGAGGAGCAGGAGGAGGAGGAGGAGGAGAAGAACCACTCTGATGGAGGAGGAGGAGGAGGAGAAGAACCACTCTGATGGAGGAGGAGGAGGAGGAGGAGGAGGAGGAGGAGAAGAACCACTCTGATGGAAAAGAAGAACCACTCTGATGGAGGAGGAGGAGGAGGAGGAGGAGGAGGAGGAGGAGAAGAACCACTCTGATGGAGGAGGAGGAGCAGGAGGAGGAGGAG